TATATATATATATCTATATACTGAAACAAACGCTATTATATATCATTTCAACTAAGGTTCATAATTTGAATATCCTTGAAATTAATCATTTTCTCAACTTCTATTTATTACAACACAATTTTATAATACGCAACAAATATACATACAAATAATTTCTCGTATTATTTTCATGTCATAATAACATCGAATTTTTATCAATGATTTTTAATTTCTAAAAAATTCTGTTGATGTGTCGAAAACCCGATGTCCACGGGGCTAGAAATCGGTCCGAGATCTCGGACAGAAAAAAAATTAACAAATATATTACATTTAAACAATTTGATCACATGATCATTGCGATTGGTTAATTCTTTCTTCATCCGAGATCTCGGTCAGATTTCTAATCTCATGAACGCAAGGCTTAACAAAAAATAGATCAAAATAAAATCCAGAAATATATCCAGGTACACATTGATTTGAACATTTACACAAATATCAGAGAATTATGTTAATTATAAATATGTATACATATATATATATATAGCACACACACACACACACACACACTCACACTCTCACACACACACACACACACACATATGTATATATGTAGAATCTGTTAGAAATATTGAATTTTTTACTTTATACATTCAAATTATAGCGAACTCAATATGGATCGTGAACAATTCTATGTCAATATATTATTTGCAATCAAAAAATCGACAGAAGAAAATTAAAATTAATAATTTTTAAGTGAAAAGCAATTTGACATAATATACATACAAGTAAAAGTAATTGAACTTAAATTTCGTACATGTTTATAATTAAAATCAATACATGAAACTTAATACAGAGGCAGTAAAGTAATTAAGTCATAATTAATTATAATCGAAAAACTAAAATTCGAATATATATTTGTCAAATTGTTTCTTTCATTTTCACTATACTATATATATGATCGCAAATGTATATATTCTCAAAAGTTGCTAGAAAGGCATGTACTAACAATCAGCTGTGCAATAACATTCTAAAAGTAAAATATAAATCATTGATAAAATATAAATCACCTACACAGATTTGTTTATAATTTTTCAGTTGTAATTGAAAAAAGCATTATTACGAAATAAATTGGACCCGCAAGTCTGGTGTTCTATGAAATTATGTATATGCATGATATATTTATCCCATCTATATTACATCTATATAATCGTACTTACAAATACTAGGCTTTCATTTTGCTTGTTATAAATAATTGAGTATTCAGAAAGACTGTCACGCTAATAATATTTCCTAGTGCTATAATATTGCTTGAAAAGCTGAAGAGGCAATCACACGAATATTATATTAATTTATTTTTATAGGCAATTTTTAACAATCTTTAAATATATTTCTAACCAAAATTTATATAATATGTATATCAGTATATTTATACATTTGTTTTGAGAGAATAGAAATTATTGTATGTCAAACAAAAAGAGGTTTCTTATACATACATTTTTTCACTCAAGTTGTGTATATATATTAAATTGTTGTGTATATATATATATATATATATTAGTTGTGTATATATATATATATATATATATTAAAAAGTTCGGGGCGTTTTTTTAATGCC